TTATTGGGAACATAAATCAGCGATGATCCGTGACTGCAAAAGATTATTGTGAAAACACTTCAGCCTTACTAAAAGTTTACTTTTTTTCAGTTGATTTACTTTTAGTAACTAAATCTTCCTCAAATTTTCTCTTAAGCCTGTAGCGGACTTTCAAGCACGTTGGAGGGGGCCCATAACAGAGAGAGGTAGCCTTATTAACTTAAAACGAGACGCTAGCAAGTTGTCAGCTGTCAGTCATGTTGTCTCCCTAAAGATCGCGACTGCTGTACACAGATGAATTTGCGTCCAACTCGCGCCATAAAACTACGTCTGTCCTGTTGTTTTTGTAAAACAAATAGGAGGGAGGGAAGAGGAATTTATTTCTGAGAGTGGGATTAACACATTTCCAGGTCCAAAATATAAGAGGAGGGCTTCTTTGAGAGGGAGAATAAAGAATTTGCGGCATATCAATAATCATGACAAAGAAGCCTTGCAGGACAAAGCAAGGTCTCATGCGTTTTAAATTCTACTCAGACAATACGGGACAAAATTACTCGATTCTGCTTGGCTAAGAGCAGTGCAGTTCAAGTGTAAAACGAGTGCAAATTACGCATTGTAATTCTGGATTATGATTGGCTGAAAGAAAATAGGAAATTTTCCAAGCCAATGATATCGAATGAGACAAAATGGCTTCAAGAAAGATCTTCCGGTCCTTTCTCCACACGAATTTGTTTATGTCAGTATGTTAGTAAAAAGTAATGATACGGTTTTTCTCGTTCAATTTGGAATTAATTTGCAATTGTATGTTTTTAAAAAAGCTCACTCGTGCAAATCAATTCCAAACTAAACTCGAAACCGTATGATCACCTATTCTAAATCATTAATTAATTATACCAAAAAGAAGTGACGGATCAAAAAGAAGCGGCGGATCGGCCCTAGTGACTTAGAAAAACATTTGACTATAAAAAAAAATTGCGACATAACATTTCTTAAAAGCATTCTGATGTTTAATAATCTAAAAAGCTGGATTAAAA